CGCTCGCGGAAACAAAAGAATAGTTTCATCTGCTCCCGCTTGTTAGCGGCGTCCGCCGCCGCCCCCGAGGATGGCGGCCAATGAGCCCCGCCCACCGCCGCACTTTTGTTTCAATTGGACGAAGAGTGAAGAGCACCGCGGTTGCGCTCCCCAAGTGCTCTCTTGCGGGGCTTGCTCTGGGAAATCGGCTGGCGTATTTTATTTGTTGTAGTTTTAATTATTTGTTCTTGTACACTGCACGGTTTCAGCTTTCCTTTACAGGAAAGTTGTAAGTCTTGTCCTATTGTCGAAGACGTCGCCACCACGATGGTGGTGTGGTTGCATACGAGAATGATTCGGGTGGGTGGTAGAAAATTCCGGATCTCAAGAACAGATTTTTTCTCGTTTATGGTGTGTCTTTATGACAATGGGAATAAAAATCGGTGGTCTGGCAGGATTTCATTAAAAAAATTCATAAATCATTTTTGTTTTAAGACGTCGTGGGACTTAGAAGATTAGTATTTTAATTAAGTGAACTCATGTCCATGACATTCACAGGAATCGTAAATCACGTGCGTTCAAATTTCATCTTGTGGTGTACATTTTATCAGTTGCTTAAAAATGCATAGGATAGTGCTGAATTTTAAAACTGTGTAATTGTTTTAAGTTTCATGAGATAAGATTCCAGATTAATGTTGTTTCTGTTAGAAAATTTATATTATTAATATCTGGTTGGATTGTAAACATTGGATTGCGGACATATGTTTTAGGTTGTTGAAGATTAAGGAGTGGGTTGACAAACACGATCCCGGAGCTACGATCATCCCTTTCTCAGGGGTGTTTGAAAACAAGCTTGCAGACATGGAGGAACCAGAGCGGGCACGTTTCTTGGAGGAAGTTAAATCAACGAGGTAAGTCAATTGTGGCCATGTTCACTACACGAGCTCTAATCTACTAGCTTTCATTGTTCCCATCCTTATAGTTGCATGAAAATCAGAACATACTTGCATTTTTTGTTTTTAATTTGATTAGTAACAGACGCTGGTTTGTTCCACAATTATACAACGCCGTAAATGAAAAATAGGTGGTCGGTCTCTAAGATTTGCACTGCCTCTTAGGTCCCGTGAAAGTATATATTTAACAGGTAAGAACGAGACAGATCAAAGTAGGATATAAGAAATAAAAGATACAGAAGGGTATAGGAAAAAACACGACCAAAAGTTGCCTTCTTGGCGACTTTAGCATAGGAAATGCAAAACCATTATGATCCAAACTACCGAACCTCCTCATCAAATGTTTGTACTACATGAAACACACACAGAGAGCGGAAATAATTTCGTGATGAAATAGCTTATTTTGTATCCTTCAATTGCGCGAAAGATAAATCGTTCCGTTGACACGTCTAACATTAATTTTGTCAAGAAAAGTGACAGCCGTCAAACTGAATTATTGCTATTGCTATATATCAGTTCGAGTACGTATTATTTCCACGCATAAAAGGTATCACTCGAATTCGTTTGAGACACGCTCTGTCAACAATTGCTTTCGTGCCGAATTTATAAAATGTAAGATTGCAACAACTTTCAGAAGCTAAATACATTTTTGTGTGATCGTGAGCGCGAATGAATTATAATCCAGGAGACTTACCAGTGGCGTGGCCAGAAATGGTCACCCAGAGGATTATTGGTGCGATCATCCCCTCCTTCAAACATAAGTCTGTACTCGTATATTATAGCATGTCCTATAATGTTTATAAAAATTTTAAAAAGTGTTTTACATACTTAAGGAAAATTTTACAAGATAAATTATTTGAATTGTGTTATAATCAAAGTATACTTTTTAAGCAATTTACGAATTTCTCCTTATTTCTTCGAATTTATGCGAGACGCAGCGTTTTATGAAACTGGTAAATCCTGGCAGTGAAGCTTTGTTCTAAAAACTACGAAAAAGTTTAAAAGATTGTCGAAAGCGTTTTTAGAAGCATCGCGGGGCTCAGATAGGAGCCAGTGGTGAGTCGCTTAAGGTTTGCGCCATCCGCGTGGCTGGCGAACCGGCAGCGACGCTTCCCGCACCTCCCGCTGCCTCCTGCGCCCGTTTATGGCGGCGGACACTTCGTTTAGTGGCTCCAGCGCCGAGCAGCGGACCAGCTTTTTGCCTTGCGGTTTCTTCACGTCCTGACGGACCTTCCCCAGGGAGATGCGGACACTTGTGAAGCCGGCATTAGTTTTCCGCGAAGTGTCTGGGAGGTTATTATATTCTATTAACAGCTGTGCTTCGAGCTTTTGCATTTATTTAACCTCTCGCAGAATAAACTTGCTTCCCTTTAGGTTAAATTTTGCAATAAGGTCATTCGATATCGAATTTCAAATTTCGAAACTGTTGCACAGATATTGCTCCATTAGTAGTTTAGTACTATAAATAATTAAATTGTGCTTTGGAAGAAAATGCACAAGACATCTTGAAGAAAATTTTCGTACATGTTTCTGTGGATGCACGCTCGTGCTAAACAGTGGCAAAAAGTAAAAGTTAATTGCTACAATACAATCTAAACTAGGATTAACACATCGGTTTCGTGGCGCTATCCCTTGGCGCCACGAATTAATGTCAATTTTAATTGCGTTTACTTGGTTTTCTGTGCAATATTCTTAACTTCGCAGATAAACTATGTTATGAATGTGTTATAAAAACATCTACTACGTCAGACATTGCAAATTACGAACGGCCGTTACAATAGGATACCCATAAATGGAACATCCTTCAGGCGGTAATTACCTAAGTTGATAATAACTGTCTAGTTTTCTTCGACAAATTATTCTGTTATAATAGAATATTTCAATTCAAGGACATCGGAAAACTATATTTGGTGTTTAGTTATTATGTTACTATTTTTATTCGGAAATAAAATATTGACCATGTATTTTATCGAGGTCCATCGAATTTTCTAGGGATCGTCCGTTTTTTGACAAATGCTGCATGTCCCTAAATGAGTATGGCTTCGCGCCCTTTTGACCCTTTTCCACTTCTACGTTTTGTCCCTTTACAACATTTTATTACCGTCGTTTTTATAACTGTTTATCTAATAATAATGATAATAATATAATAATAATGCAGAATACAAATAATTTTGTTTTCTCTATTATATATTTATTATATTATCCGTTCAAATGAAAGTTGTTTTGTTAATTGTTCTGATAATTTTTTTGAATCGTTTTGAATCTCAGTTCAATATTAAAACAGCAGAAATTAACGCCTCCCCCCCCTTCCCGGTCTTCCTTTCAATGTTAAAAGTTATTAAATCGGTTTTTACCAAATCGGGGAGACGCGGTTTACGTATCGAAGCTGATATTTTCCCCGCAATGTGGAATGCCCACCGCAGCCGCGCATCCCGCGCCACGAACTGCGAGGAGCGTGGGGGGGGGGGCGCGGCGCAGTGCGCTGCCGTTTCGTTTCCGCTCCGCTCCTTTTCGATCTCGCCGGTTTCTCGGTATCCAATCATTTTTCGTGCGTCTTTTTCGTCCGGATCCAAGGCCGCGGCCGCTGCGGCGCGTCGTGTACGCAGCACGAAACTGCAATTATATCGGTGAAGTTGGTATGGGCGTCCATTGCAGCCGTTTTAATTAGCCTCTCATGTTTTATCAATGCCACCTCCTGCGCCGCGGCGGCGTGAGCGGAGCGGCGGCCGCGGGCACGCAAGCCCCGGCCCGCGCCGCTCCTCGGACCCGTGTCAGCGCGGGGCCGCTGCAGGGAGTCGCGCGTCTCCTCCGGCCCCACGCACGACGTGGGTGGAAGTGCGGGGTGCTGCCTCCCGCGGGCCGAGATGCTCGCTAATCGCCCTAGCGGTCTCGGTCCGTGTTCGAATTTGGCCTCGGGCGACTAAGTTAGCTTGTGGGATGTGGCATGGTTGACACATGTTCAAACCACCATGCATCACTTAAAGGCCGCTCCTCACATTCGGTATTCGGCGAGTAGCGAGCACCAGCTAGCGGAATCCCGAGTAGTGTGGCTGAGTTGCTTGCTGTTCACCGAGTGACGAACATTCGGTCCCAGTTAGGACACATCAAAGGGAATGAACTCATCAGCTGTTCGGGAGTTGGTGAGCAGTAGCTCGCTGCTCGGCGAATACCGAATGTGTGGCGCCGCCTTAATCCAACCCCGTTTCTTCCCGTCTTTCTTTCCTCTGCGTTGGCAGACGGGTGTCTAAGTATGGCAGCGAGCAGACGGAAGGCGCAAGCAACGCCAAAGGGTCTTCGGTCTGCGACGTATCTGTCTCCGCCCCTCAGCGGTAAAATGCCCCAAGCGCCGCCACAGGCCATGTGCTTCAGGGTGGCGCGGGTTGCAGGAGATCTAAGGGCCACTGCGAGAGAGCTGAGGACGTTGCCTCCGGGTTTTCAGATGCTGAGGCGTCGTACGGGCCATGGAGTTCAGGTTCGCAGGGACTGCATTGGGACTAAAGACCTATCACTGCTCAGAAAAAATTATACAATACAATTTTTTGTAATGTGCAAAAAGGCTCCAGACACAACAGTGCGGTTGTGCGAAAGTTGGATTGTAATTGTTCATCGGTATGTACCAATTGTCAAGGCATCTTGCACCAACATTGAATCAATCTTACAACAGTGATGAAGATGTTTCGGAAATTGATGAGGATATAAATGTTTTTAATATATCTCTCTTCTTTGAGGCAGTCTACACAAATCGAGCACAGAAGAGGAAGAAGCAAGTGATGAAGAGAAATCGAGTGGACTATGAAGACATTTGATGTTGAATGATGATGTATTTTCTTGATGTTAATTTTTCATTAACTTTAAATGAAAAAAAAATTTCATCAATAAAATAGTGGTTCATTACATTCCTCGTCAATATATTGTGGAGTATTCCTAATGGGAAAGCCACAGTTAAAAAAGCGCGTGTACACTACATCTCAGAGGTCGGTTCGGGAAATGTGTGCATATATGTCGAAATACGACTTTTCCTGCGCTTAAAGTCACGATAATTCTCGAAAGGCGATGCTTTGTAGGAGAAAAGTTGAGATTTTTTTGTAGACAATTTTAACGAAACTACGACACTTTGTCTGATCTTTTTTCGATAGCATCTCGTTTTTTTAGAGATATACGCAAAAAACGCAAATTTGTGACCTTTGACCTCGAATAAAAAAACGCACAAGGCGGGATCGATGGGGACTTTTGGACATATCATTTGTAATGACGTATTCGACGGCTGCACAAAAATCAGCTTGTTGGGAATTAATGCAAACTGGAATCATAATTAGTCTATTTTGACTGGACTATATTCAAT